AGACTGTTGATGATCTCAAAAATCACTTGGTCGTCTTCATGCTATTAGCCTTGTGTTTCAGTGGAGCCTCAATGGGAAGAATGGGATGCTGGTTAGGTGCCTCAAACGGTGCACTGTAGAAGGTGCAATGCTGGATCTCATCAGGCTCTTCCAAAGATGAAAGCAAAGACAGCAGGAGATGCATCGTCACCAGCAGAGCCGCCTTTGCACATACCAGATCGTTGTGTATCACCATGGCTGCATTATCTTAGCCTGCCATCAAGGGACTAACAATAGCTAAAGACATGCCTTAACAACTGCTTTAACTTAGGGAATATGCCAACCAGTGCACAATTTCGTCGCTGTTGTCGTCAATGACGAGGTGTCAATTTACCACCTCAAGATGAAGGCACATCATGAGAGAAATGCCATACATTTGCTTCCTCTCACAAAGATCATTTTTTATGCATACATTCACTAGCAGTTCATGCTGCAGGCTTTCCATGTATATTTTAAATGCATTTCGTACACAAGCAGTGGCTTTGCGACGAAACAGCCTCCTTTGAGTGAGCAGTGGACATAATCGGTGCCCCCATGAAACGGTTATGAGGTGCAGTCGAGTGGGGCAAATATGGGGCGGTGGTGGCTGCAAACAAAGGAAGACCCGCACCTCTATGTCCTCAAGAGATAGTGGAGGAGCTATGTTCCCCAAAAGGCCTAGTAACACAGGGCAAAATGCCAACTACGAGCAAGAATGCGCAGATAGGCACTGTACTCTTCTGCTTAACCACGTTCCCATCCTCAATCTCATTCCTCCCACTTCCAACTTCTCTGTCTAATTCACGTCGCTCTTCGTTCCTCCATCCACACCTACATTCCTCATCCACCGTTCATATCGGCATTGATGCTGCTGCTACCGTAGGTGCAGCTCTCACCTCTCCACATGCAACAGCCATTACAGCAGTAGGATTGATCCACAGAATGGGGGTAAGCGAAGACAATAAATAAGCGTGCATGTAATTCAACTGTGCTGTCTCAATTACTGCATGGAGGGGGATTATTTGCATTTACTGCATCTCAATTCTCCGTTGTACTCTGAATGTTCGTTATTTCTAAGCTCTTTTGTGTCCACTTTCTCCCAAATTGTCATGAGTCTATATCACGTTTACCTCATCGACATGCGTAGGTGCAGTATTATGGCAAGGTGGAGCTCAACTGCTCTCCGGCATTTCTTGACGTCTTTGGCCACCTAGACATAGATGTGCTCAGGAGTACAAGAGTTCACCAGTCGGCAAGTGGACTAAGGGATTGGAGGATAAAAAGAAGGCTTCTGTCCTAGTGGCTACGAACAAATTTGTCGCTGTTAGAGCAATGAAGCAAATGCCTATTTTGTGTTGATTGAAATGTCAATTACTGTGAAAAAAGCCGAGAAAAGATAGCAATTTTTACAAACACTAAAGTTTACAGATAAAGAAGAGTTTAGTACCTCTTCTTCTGTTCAAAAATACCTTATTATTATAATATGGTGATAGATTGAGCGCCTTCAGCATATTACGGGTTATGCATAACACAGCATAAAACAGAAAGGCATCAGTGAGACGATGAAAGAATTGGGTTTCCTATAAAATGTAAATGGTAAACGGGAAGTAGGGTCGAGCCTACTCTACCATTTGCTTCATGTTTAGTGCAGAAGCTGGGGAGGTCGGACAAATGTACCTGAGACATTCCTCTCCGATGTAAGCAAGCTATCGATGTGATCTTCCGTTTTACATATTGTATGAGAATCTACAAATTGCTTTGTCCTTTTCCCTTTTTTTATTCCTCTTCTTCCTACTTCTCCTAAACACATCCATTATCTTTCCATTGTTTTACTACTTAGTAAAAATCCGCAGTGTTACTCGCGCTTTCACCCTAGCTTATATCCAACTGCTACCGCTTATTAGGCCTAAAACCGCCAAAATAAGACCCGTCACGCATTACTCTTTTACCGGTATGCAAGAGGAAGCAAAAACGTCTATCACAGCAATCAGTGTAAGACCCAGTTACAAAATCAAAAAAATACTATCATGGTGAGCGAGGCCGGTCTATAAAAGGCGCCTAAAATGTGGCTTTTGCAGTCGATATTAGCACATCTCAACCATTGTCTCATCTTCTTATCGCGTACTTGGTAAACGATGATGGACCATTTAGCAGTAACTAGGGAATAATAAGATAAGG